CACAAGGGCACTAAAACCTCGTCAGCTTCCTGATGAGAAATCACTCAGACTTGCTGTTAAAACAGAACTGAGCAATAATACATATTGATTTAAGTTCAGTGGGGTTTGTTTACAGTCAGAAGACCTGCTACTTAGCCACGCCCATGCTAGCCAGGTAAGATTCCTCGAGTCTAAAGTTTTGAATAATCTCACATCTGCTCCAACAGCAGAGAAAATTCTGGAGTGGCCGGATTTCTTTGCCCTCCGAGCATTTTGTGCTCAGTTCTGTAGTGGCTAATTGGTGGATGAGCGTCCGGGGATCTGACAAAGCAGAAACCCACATGAAAACACACACACACACAGGTTCGAGCGGTGACCTTTCACAGCCTGCCGGGTCTGGGTCCAGTGCCAGGCTTCATCTTGGGTACCCCCAGAGAATAAAGAGCAGCTCTGTTCCATGGGGCTGACGAACGGGCTTCAGCCACTGTTCCCCCTCTGTGCCTCAGACAACAACCATTGTTCTGCTTTTTAATGAAGAGTCTACATGGAAAAAATAAATAAAGGGTAACTTAGTCACTTCCTGGGTTCTATTAAGGGGTGCAAATTTGGGAGAAGGAAGTTAAGCTATCATCCGCCATTGGATGATACGCAAACACCACCTTACAGAATGTGTTAATATAATATTTAATGCAAGATTTTACTGTCTTTTTGCTTCACTTTGTTTCATTTTTATCTGAAGTACAAACTAATATCAAACTATTGTTATAACCTGGCCACAAAATAACACAAAACAGTGTTTACTCGGAAAGCCGGAGCACCCAGTCCTCAATCACAACACCGATTGGATTACAGGCAAGTTTTAAAATCCAAATTTATAAAAAGATTAAGAGTCGCCGAAACTGAAACCAGCTGAGAAGCAAACGGGGCCTATCAACTTGATAAATTACAGTTCAGTCAGACTTGAAAGGCTACTCTGAAGATTAATCTGAAGAGTAGATTTCAGACGCAGATCCCCCTCCCAACAACACAAATAACTCCTGGCACTTCAGCAGCCTTTAACAAAGCAGCTTAGATGTAATCTGGGCAGACTATTGAGAAGAGCAGCAACAGCAGCAGCTAAACCCACGCAGTCCCCCATATGGCATTTAAACGTGCAACCCCTCTACTGCCCTGACAGCAGTGATGAGTCTCAGCAAATAAAGGGGGCCTCAGTTTCAAGTGGACACCATGTAGTCGACTTTGTGGTTGACTAAAACAGGACAATCCCATTTTACTCCTTTACTTTTGGTTCTTAAATAAACTCAAAAAAAGATGCCAGCTGGGAAAAATTCTTCCAGATCTAATCAAAACGACATTCTACCTTGGAGTCTGACTATGAACAGCACGAAGGTCTTATGGGGAATAACAAATCCTTTTTAAGGTCTCCCCATTGAGGACACCGCTCTGCTCTACTTTCCTATGCAAAATTGCCAAGTCCATCCCACGAGGAGGGATTCTCTTTCACAGAAGGAAGTGATCCTAAACTACATGAGAGGACATGTTGGTAGTTCAGGGTTTTCCACAATTCCCCATCTACATCGTCGTATGAAACATTTGCATGAATCCGGGAAAGTTTGCCGCACCTCCAACAAAGATCTGCCTTAAACTGTGAAAGATGAGCCGAACGCTCGGACCAAACTGCCCATTTCAGATGATTTACAGGAAGTGATACGAAGCATTCCACCTTAAAACATGTGAATGTTGAGGACTACCCAGATTCTCATGCTGTAAACAGGCGAGATAGAACTCTTTAAAAATATACATCTTGTACCTTGTTTGTTAAAAGTGAAGGAATTCTCCCTGAGCTTTGTGGCAAGACAACGAACTAACCTTCTTGTTGCTTTAAACAATGAATGTTTGGGTTAAAACTGCAGCTACTTTCATGGTCAAAGTCACATGTGAATCTGACACTCGCATCATGGCAGAGGAATTACATTACAATTAGCCTAAATCCGTTTCAGAGATCAGGCAAAGACTCCGGGGGGTTATGAGGCAGACTACAATGGAGGCTTTTATTTGCAGCAATCTGCAGACTCAAACACAATCTCATCCAAGACGCGGCAGGTTAAAATTTAACCCGCTGCAGCTTTGAAGGAGCTGAAGCTGCTAAAACAGCCTTTAGACGTGTTAACTTTAGATTATTTGGCTGCACTTTCCACGTGAAGGTTCAGTAGGCTTAAGTTGCATTTTGAAGCAGTCTTTAAATTATGAATATGAGCTGAAAACAAACAAAAAAAAAGCCTGAAAGTCAAACCGATAAAAATAAAAAAGTAATAATATGTATATATATAACTATTGGAGTCATATCTGTCGGTCTGTTGGCAAAATATCTCATGACTCAAAAGATAGATTTTATTGAAACTTTCAGGAAATAATAATTGTATTCAGCTCTACATACGATTAACTTTACGAGTCAACCCACTTCAAGATGGCCGCCACATCCAACAGCCCTCAAGAAACACAAAAATGGCTACAATTTACTCAGATGAAAAGATTTTATGCTAAAACATGTTGTGATTGTAGCCAAGACTAAATCACAGCATAAACTCCAGTGCTACTGTTTGTGCAAGATATTTGACAACACTAGCATTAACTTTTGGACTCAACCTAGTCTGTCTGTTAGCAAAATATCTCTTGAAGTTTGATAGATTTTAATGAAACATTCAGTAAGTAATAATTAGGGGTGCAAGATATTGGATTTTTGGCCGATATCCGATATGTTATAACTTATTTGGCTGATAACCAATACCGATATTTTTCCCCCTAGATCTACTTACAGAGACTACATAGCTTTCTCTGCTGTGTAATTAAAATGCTACAATATTCTGCATGGTCTTTGTCAGTTTGGCCTGCTTCGAAATACAGATGCCAAAAAGGGGTCCGAAAATGATGCAACACTTCAACTTGGATTATGTTTCATGTCAAATGTATTCATGACATTTACTCTCTCTAACACAATGACAACACTCGAACAGTACAAATTTGTACATTTTCACTAATCTAAACTCAACCTGTTCACAAACGACAAGTGAAAAGCGCATAATGCATTAGTAGAAATGCTTCATTTATTTTAATTAAAAATTGACTTAAAACAGAAGCCGTTAATATCTGTGGGGTTTTTTTTTTTTTTTTTTTATGGAATGGCCGACATCCGATATTTAACGTTATCGCTTATATCAGCCGATACCATGCTGATAATATTGTGCATCCCTAGAAATAATTGCATGAACATCTATAAATGATTTACTCTTAGGAGTCAGTCCAGTTCAATACGACCACTACAGCTCATCAACATTCCTTCAAGGGGTGTTAAGACCTTTAATTATATTAACTTCTGCATCGAGCCTGACAGTTTATTCTTAGTCTTTCTTGCTGCACGCACATCAGATGTGGGCTGCTCAGCTCAGATGCTAAAAGCTAACATCTGAAAGCAGACGTTTCACGTCTCGCAGCGTGGAAATTCAAATGCAGTGTGCTCTTGATGAGCATTTCAGGTGACTGCTCAAATGTGGTCACACGGAGCAGGAGTCTTTAATCCAAGCTGCTCCCTGCTGTGATGCAAGGCTCGCCTGTTGATCAAACCTATTAGGAGCGGCAAGAAAAACAGTCCTACAGCTGTTCTTTGATCAACAGGTTCAGGCTCTACTGAATGGGGCCCGAGGATGCAAACCAGTCCACAGATGGGAGGGATGACAGGAAATGATTAATGATTACTGATCGGAGGCCAAGAACAATATGTCGACTCATCAGTATTATCAACCTCGTACGACACAAAGAAGCCCGAGAGGCATCATCCTCATCATCTCCTACTCAAACTGAGGTGAAGTCATCAGCGCCACTCAGAAGAGTCGAAGGCTATCATCTGCAGCTGAGAGACGTCAGGGTTTAAGGGTGGTAACAAACACTAAACGCTCTGATAATAGCACTAAATTCTTCTGATGCCAGAGGGCTTCCACCCCATCAAGAGCTGAGGCATCAGGAGGAAGAAGAAAGGGAGGGAGAGAGAGCAGAGGGGGAGTCCCTGAAATGCCATATGAAGATCGGCTTTACTGACAGCCAGCCCAGGAAATCCTACATGTAGACAAGTGGGGTTGTTTCTGGAAAGAGTAATGAGGGATTAGCTTCACTAAACTTTATGGATCCTTATTATTTAAAGACTCACGATGCTCAGAATATAATATGCATATAATATGTAGGCGATAAAAACCTCTCTTACACACAATCAAAGTCAATCACATGACTTGAACTTCCATGTGATTTTTGATTAAATCAAGAGAGCTTTGTTTACAATGAGTTCATACCCACATTTCACTGTCTGATATAGTTCAGGATACTCTGTTTTTATGTTTTACAGAGTACTTTTAATGAACGACCAACTCTCAAATTTCGCCTCACCGTTCTGGGAAATAGCCAAAGTTATTCCCTGCAGAGGCTGACTTTAAAAAAATAAAAATAAAAAGTTCACCAACAATTTCTGTGCATCAATCAGAACTTCTTGGATAGATTATTTCTAATCCCTGTCTTCACCCTCAGCTTCCAGCCTGGTAACAGTAATTGTTGGCACGTCTGTTGGCACTTTACGAAGTGACAGAAGTTTCAAAAGACCTGGCGTGATGGGGGCACTTAAAACCTTCATCGTCTGGACTTGTAAAGTTGAAAGAGATGGCAATAAATCCAAAGACTCTATGTTAGGAGTGCAGGTGCTTCTTATCGGAGTTTAAAAACATTCTCAGATCACAGTACAAGTGTAAAGCTTTAAAACAACTTTGATGAGTTTATGGTAAAAATAAAAAAAGACACTTAAATGGAGATGTACAATTAAAAGGGCACTTTTTTGTTAGAAATGCCCTTTCCCCCCTTAAAAACAGAGGGGCGTGCTGCACAAACTGATCCAACCTACACACAGTTGTCCCAACCCTGGACACAAGCGTGGAGAGAACAAAGAGCAGACTGAAACAACTTTTTCCCATAAATTTTCTTACCAAAACGATTCCAAATTTCTCCTCCAGCTCACCAGGCTCTGGCATGGGTAGTTTCAGGGGCATGTTGTGCCCCCTTAAGTCGGTGTGCTGGTTCATGCTGCCTGCGTTCCCCATGGTTCCTCTGGACCAGGCACAACTTTTGCCCCCTTAGTTAAACTTGTGTGGAAAAAATAAATACAATTTGCGCTTCACGGCGGTGAAAAATAAAGTGTTGAGTATCCTCACGCCCTCTGGGCTCCCAGCAGGTTTATCCAGGTCACTTCTTCTTTTTCTTCTTCTTCATAAAACACATGAGAGAGAGGCAACATTACACGACGGGTCCGAGCGGCAGAAGCAGCTGCGGAGACCCTGAAGAGACATTTTCTTCTCACGCGCACACAAAATGAAGACGCAGCTCGGACCTCTCCTCGGAGTTATCCGTATCTTGCACAATTTCGACTCCACTCCCAGTCGGTAGGAATGACGACGGGCATGATTCACACTGGTTCCGTCTTTCCGCCTGTTTGAGCTTTCTCAATCCCAGCGCTGCTGATCGAAGAGGAGGAGATCACCCCCCCCCCCCCCCCCCCCCCCCCCCCCCAGCGACCAGAGACGAGCCTCCCACTTCTGCTTCTTGGGGCGTGGCTCAGAAGCCCAACAGTTGTTCGCTGTTGCATTATGGGACTTTGAGTCAAAACAGACTGTTTTCCTTTTTTTTAAGTTTAGGGGATGCTTCTTTTTATTTTTATTTTATTGAACTATTGAACATACAGAACAAAGGAACACAAGAACAAAATAACAATCTAAAATTACAATGATATATGTATGAATGTACTCCGGTGAAGTCAGACGTCCCTGCTTGCACTCTTTCGTCCTGTGAACCCTTAAAGAGCCTCTTTTTTTCCTCTGCAACTTCCTAATTCGAAGGATCAGCTTGTCTCAATAAAATTGATCAACTTCTCCCGACAGGAGTCAGGGTAAGGAGGACCATCTTACCTGGACGGAAACAAATTGGATTCATGATAACAACTGGTTCTATTTCGTATAGGCTTCGCCCTTTAAGGGCTGTCGCTGGTGGGTTTATCCCTAAGGCGCTCAGCGCTGCACTGAAAACTTTAGTCCACGCCCACCTGCTGTGTGGGCTTCTCCCCCGGTCCGTATAAATTACGGCGAGACTGAGAATCGGCTCCCATTTATTCTTCAGCCAGCTAGCTAGCACTGTCAGAAGAACGAAGAAGGAAAGTTGTCCAGCTTTGACCGGCACAACCTTTGCTAAGGATGCCTGGGTCTTCGCCACGCCAACCTCCTGCCGTCCCGGTGAGCTCTTCCTCCCCGAGGAGAAGCAGACGAGCAGCCTTGTTCAAGGTAAGCGTCGAGGAGTACTTTTCCGTGGCGGACCACTACCCGCTGGACGACGCCATAGCCTTTTCTAACGTTTTTTCCTTGCGGTAATCGAATGATTTTCTCGAAAAAGGTGATGTTAGCAGCAGCCCCGCTGAATGTTTATTCCGTGGCGGGCCGCTACCCGCTGGACGACACCACAGCCTTTTCTAACGTATTTTTTCTTGAGGTAAATCAGATGATTCCCTCGAAAAAGGCGTTGTTGGCAGCAGCTCTGCTGAGTGTTTTTTTCTGTGGCGAGATGCTATGTGCGGGACGACACCACCACCTTCTTTGACGCAAAGTCACGCAGTGAATCAAATGACTCCTTCGAGAAAGGCGATGCGGAGCTGCCCCTTCCCTCCTGGAGAGCATAGTGATAGAAGACGAGTGGCCGAGTGGATGCTTAGCCACCTCAGATCTTCCCACGTTGGCGACCACACCGCTCTCAGCCGTCGGTGCCCTCCTCTCGGAGCTGCCCGGCATAATTCAGGAGGATGTTAACACAAGGGACCTTCCGTCCCTCGCCTCCTACCACCCTGATCTGATGATCTGGTTGCAAGGTTGGCTCCGCCCCGGCTCATCGTCCTGACCCCATCTGGCCTCGCTGTCCAACTGTGACATCACACTGGAACGAGGCTGCAGCTGGGTTGGCAAGCTGAAGACAGCCATCTCCACCTTCGCCTCCATCTCCAGAGTGCAGGGTTTTTACCGATTGGGGTTTTTCCCTCGGCCCCCCTCCCCCCCTGGAGCCAAGCTTGGCGGTGGCACTTGGGGCAAAAGCTTCCAGGATGGACCAGCAACCTGTCCCTCCAGGGAAGCATGACCAGATGGTGACAAGGTCCCCCAACCGAGCTCACCTGTAATCATCCCAGACGGCCGCAGCTAACAACAACGCCGCCCTGCTGGCCTACAGCATCTCTAAGAGGCTGGAGGAAGCAGACCTGCTGGAGGAGATAAAGAGCTCTCTCTGTAAAGCTGCTGATGTCATCTTAAACATGTGCCACCTCTGCGATTTGCCTGTCCCTCATCGTCGCCTGGATGACCATGATCCGGAGGACCACTTGGCTCCGCCTCTCGCCATCCTTGTCCGAAAGGCTGCAGAAAGACCTGCTGGAGGGCCCCATCACCCCAGAGGCACTGTTCGGGACCAACTTCAGGACCATCCTTGAGGAATCGCAGAGGTCCAAGGAGGTCTCAGAGACTGTATCTGGTGACGTCACAGTCCATCTGCCACTCTGGCCTTTGGAGGGACCGCCTTGGCCAATAACAGCACCAGAGGTGCTCCACAGCTGCAGCAGTGACTTCACGCCCAGCAGGCCCCCTCCACCAGGTAACAGATCCTTGAGGGGAAGGTATGTGTTTTTTGACGAGGTATGTTCTTGATGTAAACAGAAACGCCACTGAAAGTTGTTCATCTGAGACTGTCAGATCAGCTGAGCTCACAGCTGCCTCTCTTCACACATTCCCCACACAGAACGAGCCAGTAACCTCTAAACAGTGTTTTAAAAGGCATCGCAGTTCAGTAAATATCACAAAACACTCGTCTGCCACGTCAACTAAAATGATGTTTTTTCAGCAGACCGAGTCTGGTAAAATCCCTCGTTTTTCAGCCAGAGCCCATTTTTAATTTCTGCTGTTTTTCTGCCCACTCACAGAGCAGCGGGAGTAAACATGTTTCTCCATGACAGCTGCAGCCTCCACCGAAACGGCGTCTCACTCAGAAAGCGCTCACGCCTCCTCTCGGTGCACGCCGGCTCACCTCAGCTCTATGTGAGTCCGCAGCCTGGGCCCAGCACAGAGGCACACATACAGCCTTTGTTTTTTCTGTCGGAGCCCCCATTGGGTTCCCCTGGAGAATCTCTGGAGCGAGTGATGGCAGTTAAGGATTTTTTAGTCTGATTGACCTTCATGAGAAACATGACACAACACAATGTGTGCCCGCTCTCCGAGCGCTACTCAGAGTGGCAGCGAGTGTGTTCCCTGGACAGATGGATGGACCATCTGATCAGAAGGGGTTACACGCTGCAGTTCACAGCTCAACCCCCACCGTTCAGAGGGATTATAGAGATGGTTCTGTCTTCTCCAGAACAGAGCTCATCTCTCCAGTCAGAAGTTCAGGAATTTCTGACGAAAAACATATTTTCCAGAGCTGCTGGAGAACTTCACCAGAACGACTGGTTTTCACCTCCATAGATCTGAAGAGTGCATATTTTCACATTTCCATCATTCTTAAACACCCCACGCACATTCTCGAAATGCGCGGAGACGGCTCTGCAGTCGTTACACATGGCAGGAATGAGAAATCTTTTTATTTGGACGATCTGCTCTTATTAGCTCGGTCCAGTTAGAAAGCTTTTGCACAGACCAAAACACTAGTGTTACACCTGCTAAACCTGGGATTTCTATAAACTGGGAAAACTTCTGTTTGACCGTCCCAGATGATTGTTTATCTGGAAGTGGAGCTAACTCACCTACAATGAGAGCCATTTATCACAGCTGAGAGCCGAAGCTCTGTCAGCTCAGCTCCTTTGTGTCAAACCCTGCAGCATAGTGACAGTTCTGTCTATCATACGACGCCTGGGACAATGTCAGCGGCCCACATCGTGGTTCCGTTGGGCCCACTTCACATGAGACACCTTCAGAGATGGTCTGCCCACCTGTGCATAGATCCTGTGCACCAGAAGAGGTGGATTATCTTTGTGCCCCCCTCCGTGAGAAACGATCTGAATCACTGGGGAAACTGCCTCATTCTGTCAGAGGGAGTACCCATCAGCAGGCCTACATCACACGTCTCAGTTTTTTCACAGACACGCTCCTGTCAAGCTGGGAGGAATGTGTCTGTCCCAAGCAGTGGGATCACAGTGGCTGGACCACATGTCGCTTCACAAAATGTGCTAGAATGTTTGTTTTTTCACGGTCTGAAACGTGACTCAGCATTTGCCCCTGCTGCAGGATCCGCATTTTTCTGATCCACGCAGACAACAAGTGACAACAGTTTACATAAACCGTCAGGGAGACATGCGCTCAGCCCAACTGTTATGCATCGCAAAACAGCTGTTGTGTTGGCCACACAGAAAACTGCTCTCCATCAGAGCAGTGTACTTTCCCAGCATTTCTGAACAGGCGAGCGGATATCATGTCAAGGGGCGGTCCCCGCCACAGAGACTGGAGCCTCCATCCCGAACTGTTTTCTCGGATTTGGAGCAGGTTTTTGGCCAAGCATCAGTGGATCTGTCCGCCACATGGGAGAATGCCCAGTGTCGATTATGGTTCTCACTGAGCCCACGAGACGACCCACCATTAGGAGTGGACGCCTTCGCTCACAGCCTGTGGCCAAAAATGCTCCTTTATGCATTCCCTCCAGTTCTGCCGATATCACGGACCCTGGACTGGGTCTGGGAGGAATAACCGTCAGTCATCCTCGTAGCTCCTGAACGCATATGCACTCCGTGGTTCCTGAATCTGCAGTGACTGATATCGGGTTGGCTGTGGAAACTGCTGTGGGGGGCACTCTCCTCCAGACAGGAAGAGCGATCAGGAGTCGCCCAGAAATAGGTCAGCATCTTTGGGTCTGTCCGCTGAACAGATCCGTTTAGAAAAGATGGGCCTTCCACAGCATGTGGTGCGTATGCTCAGGGCGCACAAGCTGCTTCCACCACAACGCTGTACACATCAAGTGGACAATTTTGTCAGCGCTGGTGCGCAGAGAAAGGTGTGGAGGCCATCTTATGGCCACTAGGTGGCATGCTGTCTTTTCTGCAGCAGCTGATGGACAGAGATCTAGCGTTCAGCACAATTAAAACTTATGCTGCAGCTATTTCTTCCTGTCACAAGGGCTTCGGTGACAGAACAGTTTTTAATCACCCATTGATGAAGCGCTTTCTGAAAGGTGTACAGAGACACAGACCGGTGTCATGTCCACTAGCTCCACAGTGAGACCTAATGATGGTCCTGCACGCTCTGATCAAAGCACCTTCTGAGCCTTTAGATCAGGTTTTACTTAAATTTCTGTCATTTAAAACAGCCCTGCTGTTAGTTCTGACGTCAGCAAAGAGTGTGAGTGATTGTCTGCTCTCTCTGTTACTCCCTCATGTCTCAGAGTTCAAGCTGACAGCAGCTCAGCTGTACTGCATTTTAACCCTTCTCTGAAAAACATCACAAGCTCATTCAGATCAAGAGTGATAACTTGGATGGGTTGTAT